CTAAGTGGTATTTCACCATAGGTATAGATGTGTGGAAGTCAGCATATAAGTGGTATTACACCATAGATATAGAGGTGATGTTGTCAGAATATAAGAGGGTATTTCATACCATGAGACTGAATGCAAGGGAGTGGGTCTAGGGTAATGTGGAGAAAGGTGCCAACAGTTTTTTTAAGTTACAACATGTTTGTGTGCCATTGAGAATGATTCAGTAAAAGGGAAGTATTGATGCTGCAGGAGGAAGGTGGCAGAATTATAGGAGCAAAGTCCTCGTTTAGGCTAGAGCAGAGGAAGCCAGTATGCAAGTGGGCTGGCAAAGCTTCCCAACAGCATCACAGACCTCACTTGGCTCAGGTGCAATAGGGGAACTTGACTGAGTTCCAACTGTCATTTCTTTGTTAGCATTCCTTACTAGACTGTAAGCCCCAGGAGGGCAGGGACCCTCTGTAATGTGTTTAACATTATACTGTAGTTCCTGACCCAACGTCTGGCTCATTCTGCAAACTTAATAACTGTTTGCTGTATTAAAAGGATGAATAGACAAATTACCATATTTGGCCAAATGTAGTTCATAAATATCTGTTAACTTGCACTGAATATAAAAATGAAAAACTTAGGTGAATATAACCAAAGTAGGAGGAAAAAGTGATATTTTAAATATCTTGAGTTTGTTAGATAGCCAAAACTCTTTTATTAATGAATGTTTGGATATTTTTCCAGATTGTTGAGATACATTGAATTAAAGTAAGCTAAATAATAATTGCTAACATTCGTGAGTGCTTATATGTGTCAGGAATTCTTCCCTAAAGCCTTTCTATATATCATCACACTTAATTCTTACATCATCCCTTAAATATCTGCTACTATTATTATTACACTTTAAAGATGAGGACCTGAGCCACAGAGATGGTAAGGAATTGCTCTCAGATTGGACAGCAGCTGCTTGATGGCAGAGCTGGGTTTGAAACCCAGTCAACCTCTTTCAGAGCCCAGGTAACTAGTCGCTTCCTGACCTTCTAACCCCTAGTCTAGTACTGCTTAGCTATTTGAAAAGTGAAGAACAAATTAAATATGAAAATAACTCCAGTAAAACATACCATGGTAGAGTTAAAGGATGAATGACAAACTGAGAAAAATATTTGTAATTCATATCAGAGACAAAGACTAATTTATGAAGTGATCATAGAAATACGTAAGAGAAAGACAAGAGACTCAATAGAACAATGGACAAAGGAAATGAATAGTTCACAAAGGAAAACATACATATGGCCTTTAAATGTATGAACAAATGCACAATCTGATTCAATAAGAGAAAGGCAAATTAAAGCTAGGCCAAAATACCTTTTTTTTTTTTTTTAAACCTATGAGATTGACAGGTATCAAAAGATTGGCCCATAGTTCCTGTCGCAAGGCTGAGAGAAACAAGGACTCTCATATGTTGGTGGTAAATGTGCAAAGTAATACAAATAGGGCAATTTTAGCAATGTCACAAAGTAATTTCTTTTGACTCAGATCACTTCTGGGAATTAATCCTCAGATACTCCTATCCACTTACAAAATGATATATAAACAGAGATATTCATCGCAACACTATTTCTAGTGCAAACAATTAGAAACACCCAACGTTCATTAATAAGAGGCAAGTTACCTCAGCTGTTTATCCACACAGTGAAAAATTAATCAGCTATGAGAATGAGGAAGCTCCCTCATACTGACTCAGAAAGTTACCCAGGATATGCCACAAAGTTAAAAAAACAGAGAGAGAGAAAGTACAAGATAGTGTATATAATCTGATGTCATTTGCAAAAGACCAGGAGACAATAAGAGTACATGTGAGTCTATGCTTGAATCTACAAAACAACTACCAGAAGGATACTCAGAAGCCCATACATGTGACAACTTCTAGAGGAAGAATGAGGTGGGAGTGGAGAAGTGTTTTAAAACACTTTATATATACTTTACATATAATAACACAAATCTCATGGAAAGTCATGAGTGGAGAATGAAAGATAATCAATGTATACCTTGCTTTATTTTTTGATCTTTGAACCCTGGGCATGTTTTGTTATTTATGAATTAGAGAGAAAAAACAATGGTAGCTACAGTCACAGAGCACTTCCAGATTGCCTGGCACTGTGCTAAGCATGTTTAGTCATCTCAGGTATTCCTCACAGCAGGACCCACTCTTTTTTCCATTTAGCAGGTGAGGGACAGGTTTAGAGAAGTTAAGGAATTTACTTAAGGTGCAGAGCTAGTAGGCCCCCGGCTGCAGAGGCAGTGCTCTGAGCTATTAGTCTGCTCTCATGGTGAATGTTAACATTTATGTACTACCTTGAAAATTGTAGGAGATGATGCCCCCCTCATGGCCAGTTCTCAAAGAAAGAAAGAAAGAAAGAAAAAGAAGCAAAAAGAAAAACAATGGTTAGAAATCCCTGACAGTTCTCCAGTAATAATAGCTCACTGTAGCTGTGGCATAAGATGTCTTCAGCCATGTGAGAGCCCTGAGGGCTAACTGTAACTCCAACCTTTTCTTCCTAAACAAGAAAGATATCAAAGTGAAAGCACAGCAACAGTATTATTATTTTAAATCCCTGACATTTATTAAGTTCTTACCACGCACCAGGCACAGATGTCATAAGTACATTGCATGTATATCTATTTAATGTTCACCACAAAAGCCTTATTAGATAGACGCTATCGTTCCCACTGTGTTGGGTTGAATTGTGCCTGCCCACCGTGCCTAAAAGGTATGTTGACGTTCTAAGCCCCAGACAATTATTTGGTCCTAAATATCAAGTAAGACTAGGACCTTATTTGGAAATAGGGCCTTTACAGAGGTAATCAAGTTAAAATGACATCGTTAGGGTGGGCCCTCATCCAAAATGACTGGTGTCCTTATAGAAAGGGGAGGTTTTTATAAAGACATACACAAAGGGAAGATGATGTGTTGATGGCCATGTGATGACAGAGACGATTTGAAACAACAGACCTGCAAGCCAAAAAAAAAAAAAAAAAAAAAAAACAACACAGGAGAGTGCTGGCCACCACCAGAAACTAGGAGAGACCCTTCCCAGAGTGCCAGGGGTAGCATCGCCCTGCCAACACTTTGGTTTCAGACTTCTAGCCTCCAGAACTGCGAGACAATACATTTCTTTTGTTTGAAGCCATCCAGCTTGTGGTGCTTTGTCACGGCAGTCCCAAGACATAAATGCAACCACATCTTACAGACAAGGGAACTGGTACAGAGAGGCCAAGCAACTCACCCAGATTGACGCGGTTGCTAAGTAATGGCGCCTTGACCTGACACTGGGAAGTCTAGCTTCAGAGGAATGCTTTATTCTGATTAAATTGATATCTTTAAAAGTTATTTTGCAAATTTCAGTTAGCTATTATTCAAACAAATCATTTCACTTCATGACTGAGGTCTCTGAACACTCTGTTTTGACCTCAACCCCGTCAAAGGTCGAAGCACAGAGCGTTTAGGGCAGGGCAACCCTGGCAAACTCAAAAGGGCATAGCGATGGGAGCCACGAAGCCAGACCAAACTCAGCCGTGCAGCTGCGGGAGCTGGGGGGGCCAGCCAAGGGGCTTTCCGGTCCTCCCTGAAACAGCTGAGTGTGGCCAGGACCCAGGGGGTGTGCACTTCAAAGCAATTGAAGTCTTCCCCACAGCCTCTCATTTTTGATCAGCAGGAGCACCACCTAGGAATGTGTGTTGTTTGAATTATTTTTTTTAACTTAAGAAAGGGTCAGGTGAAGTTCAAGAGGGCTAAAGCAACTTGCAGGAACCGCCTTTCCAAATCCCTTTTGTGCCCGGATGCCCACTAAACAAAAGGATTTCCTGAATGATGCAATGCTTTACAGATAATATGGAAGGAGGAAGGGATGAAGGAAAGGTCTGGTTGAGCACTGGGTCCAGAGTCAGTGTTCATCTGTGTAGCGCCTCTGGGTGCCCCCTCATGAAAGATGCAGCCCTGTGAACAAACCACTTGGTGAGTGGAGCCCAGGCTGAATGGTGGCCTCCAACTACAGCCAAAAAGCAGGCAAAGATGCGCCGGAGATGGACATCAAACTTCAAAACAGCATTTGGGCAAACCAAGAGTCAAATGACTGATGGGGAATTGGAAGCAGGTTATGGTTATGTCTGAGCAGAGGAACAAGGTTTGAGCAGGCATTTCCCCCAGCCGTACTGCAGAAGTGAGGAATATTTCAATAATTTCAGTGGAATGGATCATCCTGTATTGAATTATACAGGTTGATATCTACTCCCATGACTCCAGGACGGAAGGAAGGATGCCTCATGGGGCCCTAACCTCCACCATTTCTAAGTACAGTGTAGGTGTTCAATAAACACTTATCTGGGCAATTTGTTTCCTACATGACTTGCCATGAGCTCTGCGATCCCGAATAGGATCAGAGAAAAAGTGTCTTTGGTGGAAGCTTGAGTGACAGGCCTGCATCACTGCAATTCTGGAATGGAAGAAATATGACCTAAATCCCAAATGGTCCTAAACAAAATGCATGCCTCTGGACACAACTTGCCATGTCAAGGAAAAGAAACAGAATTGTTCACCTTTGGCTAATGTAGAGGCAAAAGGTTCTTGTATCCAAATATTAAAGGTATGAGACATTGAGGCAGGGTAAGGGAAAGATTAATTTCCTTTTAAACTTCTCAGACATCAGGCACTAATAAACCCAGGTTTATCATACATGGGTGAAAACAAGCTTTATTTTATAATTCCAAATATTTAAAGAATACCTCGACCTTAACATTTGAATGCCTTCTTTAAAATAAATCCCCAGAAACAGCAGCAGATTTCCACAGAAAACTCGCAAAGATGCATCCTATGTATTTTCCTATCTCTTTTCAAAGTTTAAATGCTAGGGCTCTATATATAGCAATGTGGATTAACATTGTTATGTACTTTGCTGCTAGGAAGACCTTGAAATGCTAATCCTACAGGACACTCCTGGAGACAAGCAGAAAAGTAGCTGACTTACCTGGGAGTGACGTTTGCTGTGAGGATGCTGATTTTTAAAATGCAGATTGCAACCGCAAAGCTCTGGCTGGCTGACATGCTGCTCTTGCTGGGTGGCTGCAAGTGGGGTGGCAAGGCAGGTGGGGTAAGGCATTTATTTGCAAAGGGCCAGAGGACAGGGAACAAGTATTGTTTGTCTGCACTCAGGGTTTTTGTCAATTTGGGTGGCCTGGGTGCTGAAGTCCAACTAAAGAAGAGTCATTTTGTAATTCTTGGCCTCTTGTTTTCTCATATTGACAAATAGATGTGGGGCAATGAGCCTGTGAATGCTAAAGTCCCTAAGTCCCTGAACAGCAGTGCTGTGTTAAAACAGAAACAAAGGCCAGGTGTGGTGGCTCATGCTTGTAATCCCAACACTTTGGGAGGCTGAGGTGGGCGGATCACCTGATGTCAGGAGTTCAAGACCAGCCTGGTCAACATGGTGAAACCCCCTCTCTACTAAAAAACATGAGCCAGAATGATTGCAGGTGCCTGTAATCCCAGCTACTTTGGAGGCAGAGGCAGGAGAATCACTTGAACGTGGGAAACAGAGGTTGCAGTGAGCTGAGTTTGGGCCACTGCACTCTGGCCTGGGCAGCAAGAGCAAAACTCCGTCTCAAAACAAAACAAAACAAAAACAAAAGCAAAAATAAAGAACCCCCAGCAGTTCTCATTTTGCAAGACTCGAGGGGTTGGGTGGAAGATGAAGGAGTATGCAATTTTGGGAAAAAAAGCCTGCGGATGCTTCTCATGGTGGCATAAAGTTAGTAAAGAACTACGATTAATGGAAAGGATGGCACAGACATAGAGGCTCCATTTTTCTTTTTGAATCTGCAAATGGGCTATGTGGGTTATTCCCATGCAAGCACGTATCAAATGCATTTACAAACCTGGTTTTCCTTAAAGGCAGAGTAGAACATTTTGGAGAATGAGTTATAAACTCCTGAAGGCATTAAGGGCGTCCTCCAGAAGGATGTGGTCTCCTTTTATCTCAGTAGCACACATGTCAGCAAGATAGAATCTAAGACAGAAAAACTTGTTCCTACCCATGAAAAAGAATTTCCCCCTCATATTTCATGCTTCCCAGCACTTGTGGGAAGAGCAGTGCATTTTTGGGAACACCAGAAAATGTTGACATCACAGCTGCTCTTAAAGCACTAACTGCAAAATAGAATAACCTGGGGACTCTTGAGAACAGTAGTCATGCCTGTCCACTGTCCACTCAGCTCTAAGTTAATTGATTTGTGGTGAGACCCTGCATCTATGCTTTTAAAAGCTTTGTGGTTCATTCTGATGTGTAGCCAGGGTTGAGACTGAGAATGGCCACCTTGAGAAGAAAGACATCAGATATCAGTGGATATAGTTCTTAAAAGACTTCATAAGGATTATTATTACTTACAGGCAAATTTCAAACATTAGCACATATAAAGACATGTAAAACAAAGGGCGGGTTGAAGGAAGACAGAATATACAGCTATTTTGTCCATTGCTGCCTCACCTTTTCCACTGTTATTCCTACCCGGAGTAAAAGGTACCTACTCTCACCCACTTTCTTAGGCCCTCTCCTTTTTATGCAGAGAACTTGAGGTCTTTAATGGGACTGATTTCACCTCTTCCTGAGCTTCCTGGGGAGTTTAAGCCATGCAGAACTGCCAAGTAATAAGATGATTCCAATGGATGCCACAACTCTTGTAACTGTGTCATGGGACGAATCCACACCTGAAAGACACTTCCTGTGAGTCTCGGCTAATAACAGGTGGGCTACATTCGGAAGCAGTATGAATCTGTCAAATACGCTGTAGCAGGACAGGCACATTGGCTCACGCCTGTAATTGCAGAACTTTGGGAGGCAGAGGCAGGTAGATCACTTGAGGCCAGGAGTTTGAGACTAGCCTGACCAATATGGGGAAACCTCATCTCTACTGATAATACAAAAATTAGCCAGGTAGGGTGGCACATGCCTATAATGCTGGCTACTTGGGAGGCTGAAACATGAAAATCGCTTGATCCTGGGAGGCAGATGTTGCAGTGAGCCAAGATGGCACCACTGTACTCCAGCCTGGACAAAAGAGTGAGATTCTGTCTCAAAAAAAAAAAAAAAAAAAAAAAAAAAAAAAAAATGCCGTAGCAATATTAAGAGCTCCTATGAGGCTTCTCTGGACTCTACCAAGATACTTATGGAAATAAAGATTGAAAAGCAGTCAGGATGGGATGTTTTATACTAACTAGATTTGATGCTAATTGATTTGAAATTGTGATGATTAGACTTGATAAACAGATGTGACCAGAGATGGACAAATCACCTGTCTCTTTGGAGGCTAAATCAATGGAAGGGGGAGGAGGGAGAGAGGTTTTTTTTTTTTTTTGGGGGGGGGCTGACTGGTTTGAGTAAGAGGCTTTTCTGAATTGCTCAGTGGTATTGATTTGATCCCCATGGTTGTTCAGGCTAAATGTAATGTAGAAAAATAATGAGAGCAGTAAAGTATACTAATAGCATATTAATTATACATATTGGCAACATATATTGTATTCATTCGTTTTTACACTGCTACAAAGATACTACCTGAGACTGGTAATTTACAAACAAAAGAGATTGAATTGACCCACAGTTTTGCATGGCTGGAGAGGGCTCAGGAAACTTAGAATCATGGCAGAGGGTAAAAGGGAAGCAAGGCGCCTTGTAAACGGCAGCGAGAGAGAGAGCAAGAGAGTGAGGAAGTACCACCCTTTTTTTTTTTTTTTTTAATAGAGACGGGGTTTCACCATGCTAGCCAGGATGGTCTCGATCTCCTGACTTCATGATTCACCTGCCTCAGCCTCCCAAAGTGCTAGGATTACAGGCGTGAGCCACAGCACCCGGCAGTACCACCCTTTAAAACCATCAGCTCTCATGAGAATTCACTCACTATCGTGAGAACAGCATGGGGGAAACCGCCCCCATGATCCAATCACCTCCCACCAGGTCCCTCCCTCAACACATGGGGATTACAACTGGAGATGAGACTTGAGTTAGGACACAGAGCCAAATTCTATAATATATCACATATTAGAATTATAAAATTATAATATATAATCACATATTACCAATTACACTGCATAATTGGAATATATAATCATATATTATACAAAAATATAAAACATATGAATAAATGCTTCACCTTTTCAGAGTGCTTTTAATTCTTCCTTGTCCTTAACATCTATCATATATCTGACATGTTTTGAAATGAGGCTTATGTTTCTGTGTGTATGCCGGAGAAATAAAGCGTCATTACACATGAGACTAGAGCAGTGACAGTAACATTTTCATTTGTATAACAAATGAAAGGCTTCCAAATAACAAAACAAATAAATGTTTATTGAACTTCTAAAATGTGTCAGGCCATATTTAAATATGCGATCTCTTTTAATCCTCAAAATAACCTGTTTTACAGCCGAGGAAATGGAGACACATTGAGATTACATCATTTGTCCTGCATCAGCCAGGATGAGTAACTGCAAATTTGTACTTGCTATGTCTGGCTCCACACATCTCAGGCTTTTCCTACCTTGCTATCACTACTATTGTTATTATTTTAACTATATCATGTTGCTTATAGGGTACTTTACTGTAAAATTCCTTACTAAGTCGTATCAACTTCACAGAAGGTAAGATTTTATTCTAGTCTCACGGATGAGGCTCAGAGAAACACCTGCAAGGCTACACACACAGAAGAGGCAGGGGTGAGAGTTAAACCATGTCTTTGAACTTTGATTTTAGGGTTTTCCACTCTGCTGAGGGCTCTCAAAGTTTTCACCAGTCAATTGCCCTTTGTTCCCTTCTTGGTTTCAATTTTCTCAGGAACTTTGTGGTAGTGAATTATGTTTTTTGCTTACTAATACTTTCCCCAGTTTTGAAGACAGGCATAGACGTAAGTACATTTAAAACTCTGACCGAAACACTTAATTTTTACTGATTTGATATAAATGTGTTGAGGGTCATTTCCATTTGGCTCTTTTGTAGTGATGCAAACAGTTTTTTGAAAGTTCCTTAACAGTAAGTTAAGGGATCTTAGTGTCCAGGGAGCTGATTAGGAATACCTGCCTCATTCCATAGCTACTTCTTACCGACTGTCCAAAGATCCACAGGTTTTACAATACACAGTGAAATTTTAGGGCTTTCACTTATAACATGTGCAGTCAGTGGAGATAATTAGATTCATTAAATAGAGAAAACCTGGAGATCACTGTCAATTGCAGGTTTTAGGTGTGTCTTGTTTGCTATTATCTAGCACATTTAGCATTGTAAAGTGCATGTAATTTATAAATGTGCTAGATGCAATGCACACATCTAGCATTGCATCTAGCACATTTATAAATTACATGCACTAACAGATGAATGAATGAATGCAGACAGGGAAAATGATGTCCAGAGAGGTGAATTGAAACCCCGAAGGTCACAGGTTAGGGCAGGGGGAGCATCATAGCTCAGCTCTCTTCCTTGGTGGTCCTGTGCTATTTTTCTTCTAGCACTTTCAGATGAGCTCTTTTATAATGAAGGGAGGAAAGAACAAATTTCTTTATTGGGTGGTTCTGGAGCTCTCTGTGAAGTTCAGTCGAGGTGATGTAAGTCTGGTTATCCCTTTATAGTAATAGGGATTCCTGCGGCTTAGATCTGTTTACCATCACACGAAACTATGTAGGGCCCACTCGGTTACATCACAGCATTTCATTTTAAAGGAAGACTCAGCACGATCCTCTTCTCTTGTGACGTTCTCAGTACCTATGTCCCACCCTTTTGTTCACCAACACTTGACTATTTGTATGTCTCCCTGCCAACTCAGACTCCAGCCATTTCAGTATTTTCATGGGCATCACTCTGCCCTCCTCTTTTCTGATTTTTCCAACTCTATCAATATTTATCTTAATTCCATTCAGCTCTCTGCTATACCCCATTTCTATGGTGACTAATTAGTCTAAGTAGGTACAAGTGGAGGCAGCATCAGACACACTGCAGAAACATCCTCTACTCAATTCGAGCCCAGTAAGGTTACCCTGTAACCTTCAGAGCAGCAATAATTCTGCTTTCTTATAAGATAAAATAATAATGATTGAAGTCGGCCGGGCGCGGTGGCTCAAGCCTGTAATCCCAGCACTTTGGGAGGCCGAGGCGGGTGGATCACGAGG